GTTTCAAATAAGCATGTATGTTCAGCACAATCCTATGCTCCCTCAAGTCTCTAACTTTATAAATTCAGTCAATCTGGCGGCTCGACTATCCATCTGATCAAGTATGTGTTTGACTGGGATGAAATGTGTTTCTGTCATCAGAGGACACTTGATTCGACTGCTGATCTCACATTGGAGTTGGCTCTGGCTGTTCTCACTCTTGACATAATTTGTTAGCTTCAGCCCATTGCCGCATTACTGGGCTATTGCTCTTTAGTAGACCAGGGCTGAATATTACTTGTCTCATTGTGTGTTTTCAGCAGGAGGCATGCAACATATAAGCTGAGGGATACCCAGCCCACCATCTTCCTGTCCAACCCAGAACTTACCCCATAATACAGGTGCACCATTGGCAGCTCATTAACCATTTGTAAATACACAGTTGAGAGTCAATTGAGCTTGTCAAAAGTTCAAATGACCCTGATAATACACTGCCCAAGCCAAATTACAGCCAAGAGTGGCATTTATGTCTTTTAAAATAAAGTTCATAGAACTGTGGGAAGGAAGGAGGTGCCCAGTTCTCAGCTGATGCCCTTTATGCGCCCTTCAAATTAATAGCCCCCACATCCTTATTAGCCTCCTGCTTTGCAAAATGCATCCCACATTCCTTTCACCCTCTTCCTTAATTTTTGCAGATGCTCCCTGACCAAATCCCCAGATTTATCTTAGATCAGGATATGCCTTGCCTCAGCCTGCAATACTGGAAGCATCCACTGCTAAGCTGATGGTGCTGTCAATACTGCTGGAGATTGGCCAACAGATCCTGAGAGTGGGAGTTCCTCCCTAGCGAGGGATGGAAATCTCGTAATGAGACAATGTAGCTTGCCCATGGCACCTTATGGCTGCAGCTGGGGGAATGGGGGCTCCAATGGCAAGACAGCTTTCAGCCAAGTTTTTTCTGGGGTGCAAGCTGTCTGCCTTCTTCCACTTCCATATTTTTTTCACTCTGGTGTCTGCAATTGCATTGCACCATGCTAGTGAGGTATATCTGTTGCTGATTTGATCATGTTGAAAGAAACAACCATTTCTGTTGAGATCCTGATCCACTCTATTTAACCGTGTTCCAGACTTGGCAATGTGCATTACAGTTAATCATTTGTTGTTGATGAAATTTCTGGTCTTTCTTACAGGCTTGAAAAAAAAAAATTTGGGGGGCTCATTGGTGAAGCAATCACTTTGGAAACATAGGGAGTTACATTTTTACTCTTCTCCCCATCAATATTTCTGGTAATGAAAACCACATTGGAATGCTGTGGAGCAGTAGTTTTCTAGAGCTAAGAAGAGTTTGATTTTCCTCTGTGAGAGATTTCTCATTGTTTGGACTCTATGTTCAGCTTTGCCATTTGACCGAGGATACCTTGGTGAACTAGTGATGTGTTGGAATCCTGAAATAGTTGCTAATTTTTCGAATGCATCATTGGCAAGTTGTGGTTCATGTTCTGACATAACCACATCTGGGATTCTGTGAGTGGGAAATATTTCATGTAGGAATTTGGTGGCTACATCCACAGTGGTTTAGTTTAATCTCTTTATTTTGATCCATTGAGACATATAATTGACCAGTATTAGATGCCAGTGGCCTTCAAAGATAAACAAGTCAGTTCCTATTCATAACTATAAACTAGTGGGAAAGGTAATAGGAGCCAACCATTGTTTTCTTTCTTGATTATGTCTAGCACATGTCTGATAATTAGCCATAAGAGCTACTTTTCTATCAAGTTAACGAGTGTCCTTGATGTAGTTTGTCAAGGATATTTGTTGCATTGAAGGCTAATACTAAGTCTGTTTCAAGAACCAATAGTCAACAATGATAATGAATTGTTGCCTGTGTCCAAAATAATTAAGTTGGAGATAGTATATTAGCATGGCTAAAGTAATTGGCTAATTAATTAAAGACAGAGAGTTGGGATGAGGGGGTCATTTTCAGGATGGCAATCTGTAACTAGTGCTGTGTCACAGGAATCAGTGCTGGGACCACAATTGTTTATAATATATATTAGTGACTTGGACGAATGTACCAAGTTTGCAGAAGACACAAAATAATTGGGAAGGCAAGTGGCAAGGATGACGCAAAGAGTTTGCAGAGGGATATAGACAGCATGAGTGAGTGGGCAAAAACTTGACAGATGGAATAGTTTGTGGGAAAATGTGAAACTATGTACTTTGGCAGGAAGAATAGAGGAGCTGAATATTATTTAAGTAGAGAAAGCTTGCATAAAACTACTGAACAGACAGATTCAGAGTCATTGAGCATGAATCACAAAAGGCAAGTATCCAAGTTTAGTGGGTAATAAAGAAGGAAAATAGGATGTTGGTCTTTATTTCAAAGGGAATTGAGTATAAAGTAGTGAGGTATTGCAAAACCTATAAAAGGCAATACTCAGACCACAGCTGGAACACTGTGAACAATTCTGAGTGCACTGTCTAAGGAAAGATATACTGGCATTGGAGGCAGTCCAGAAAAGGTTCACTAAGCCGATACCAGATATGATGGGATCATCTTATGAAGACAGTTTGAGTAGATTAGGCCAGTACTCATTGGAATATTGAAGAAAGAAGGGTAGCATGGTGGCTACATGGTTAGCATTGCTGCCTAACAGTGCCAGGGACCTGGGTTTGATTCTACTCTCCGGCAACTGACTGTGAGAAGCTTGCACATTCTCATCTACATGGGTTTCTTCTGAGTGTTCCGGTTTCCTCTCATAGTCCAAAGATGTGCAGGTTATTTCCCATAATGTCCAGGGATGTATAGGTTAGATGGATTAGCGATGGGAAATGCATGGTTATGGGATTAGGGTGGAGGGGTGAGTCTGGATGGGATGCTCTTTGTAGGGTCAAGGTGAACTTGATGGGCCGAATGCTTCCATGCTGTAGTGATTCTATGAGAGGTGATTTTATTGAAATATACAAGATTCTGAGGGGACTTGATAAAAAACTTATTTCCCATTGTGGGAAAGTCTCATCAAGGCACATAATCTTACAATAAAGCATTACAAATATAAGGCAGGGATGAGGATGAATTTCTTCTCACAGAGGGTAGTGAATCTATGGAATTCCTTACCATCGAGGTCTGTTAAGGTTAGGCCATTAAGTATATTCAAGGCTGAGATGGACAGAATTTTAATTGGTATGGGAATCATATGAAGAAAAGCCAGGAAAATGGAGTGCAGGATTATCAGATTGGTCATGATTTCATTGAATCGTGGAGCAAACTCAATGGGCTGAATGGCCTAATTCTGCTCCTACATATTTTGGTCTTATCATCACTAGATTCCTTTTCCAACCAGCCTTCTATACAATGTAAACATATAGTGAGACATTTGGGATCATTTTTCTGTTCCTCTCTGATGAAGTTCGGCTTTGTTTGTGCCACTGGCCATACATTATTTTTTGTTTAAGAGTATGTATTAAATTTGTCAGCTAATTATTTATCCGCTGGTGTAAAAACAGTCACTGGCGAAGGCATCTGCTGATATCTGCAATTCCCCAAACAAGTATTTGGTCACAAAAACAAATCACATGAGATGAAGAGAAAATTATTGTATCCATGGATGCATCTTTATCAATTCTACTTCATCTAACAGTGGGGCCATTGGTTTATGACCAGTCCGCAGAAGATCCATGAGACCATGCGAGTCATCCTGAAATCTCAGGTATTACAGTCCCAGCTGATGTTATTTCTGAATAAGTATGATCTCAGATTGAAATCTGCCTTGATTTTTCATGCCTTGTTTTTTTTTAAAATGCGGTCTTTCTCTGAAACATAAGTGCACAAAGCTGCACATTTGGTTTTATCAATAAGACAGAAGTGTGATACACAAAAGAAATAAAAAATAAAATAAAACAAACCAAGCTATCTACATACAACATGGCTTGACAAACATCAAAACACATGGCAATACAAAATTCTATCCACTCTCCATACACTATCCATCACTTTATATTTATTCAAAATCCAGAGAAACTTTCCTTCCGTGTCCATTCTGTAAGTTTGACTTCAATGTTGCTTCTGAGTTCTCGTTCTCTGTACTGTGAATTCGTTCCCCTGCAATACTCACGCAACTGAAAGCCTATACCTTCTCGGTCTTTTAATAATCTACTGAGTTCAAATCAAATTCTCTGGCTTTGGAAGTTTCAAAAAATTTACTCTTTCACTGGGGTAATTTATTCCCTTAATTTCTCTGAATATTCTTCTTTTCTAGTAGAGAATATAATTGCATTTGGTTTCAGTTAAGTCTCCTTCGAACTGAATCAAAAAGTGCTTGAAATAAATTTTAAAAATTCTCACCCCAGATTTTGTTAAATCCACACGGTGGCTCAGTGGTTAGCACTGCTGCCCCACAGTGCCAGAGACCTGGGTTCGATTCCACCCTCGGGCGACTGTCTGTGTGGAGTTTGTACATTCTCCCAATGTCTGCGTGGGTTTCCTCTGGGTGCTCCCGTTTCCTCCCACAGTCCAAAGATGTGCAGGCTAGGTGGATTGGCCATTCTAAATTGCCCATGGTGTTCGGGGATATGTAGATTAGTTGGGATTAGGGGGATGGGTCTGGTTGGGATGCTCTGGGGATTGGTGTTGGCTTGTTGGGCCGAAGGGCCTGTTTCCTCAGTGTAGGGATTACATGATAATGGCTTAATGCCTTATGTCTCCAGTCATAAATACCCTCAATAAATATATTGACTTATTTCAACAGTCCAGGAGATTTTGCTGTCACATACTGACTTTAAATCATGATTCTGCAAAGTCTCTTGGAGTTAATTTGTTAAAACCTTTCCCAACCCACATGCCACTAATTTAAAACCTGAAAGTCTGAACAAAAGATGGTATTGTCTGTAATTCACACACTTTTCCTTACAAAGGCCAACATAAAGTGGAGAAACTCTAGTTCAATAGTTGCATATTGAATTTCTGTATCAAATAATGCTTGAACTATATAATATGTTGGTTTCCTGTATCTTTCTAGAGGCTCTTGGAAGACAACTGCTTCAGTACTTCTGCGTGAAGCATCCATCTAATAGTTGGGATTGATGAATATTGTAGTTGGCTGAAACATCTGTGGAGGTCGTTGGTCTTCTGAATGTTCTCTTCTGAACGATTGTCCTAAAACCATTGTTCAGATTTTTTTGAGTAAGTCTTTCCAAGGTTTGGTGATGATTGCTAAATGAGGTAAAATGTTGTAAACTGGTTTGCTATTCCATAAATATCTGTATATCATATACTTTGCAATAGGAAACTCTTTTACTGCCTTTTTTAAAAATAAAGAATATGACTTTACGCCATCATTGTCAATATGCTTCTGCAAGGACAAATATATCATCTACATAGTATATAACACACTTCAAAACTTGTAGATAATTGTATATTAGAATACTGGAAGATCTTTGGAACTGAGGCAATTTAAAAATGCAATCTGTTGAGTAGTATCTCCCAAACTAAGTGACGAATGTGGCATGCAGATTTGATATTTTAACTAATGGAATCTGCCAGAAGCCACTATTGGCATCAAGCTTAGTGAAGATCATGCTTTAGGAGGGTTTTCATAGCTGTCATCTACAGCCAGGGTGGATTTCTCTAGCCACCATCATATTAAGTTGTATAACTGATGGAACCATTCAGTTTTGGATGGTTCCCATGCCCGAACATCATTCTGTTGGTTTTGTCAGCTGTGAGAAGGTGTCTGTGTTGGTCATCCCTCGTAACTGTGTTTTTTCACTTGCCCCTATTAAAGGATGATAAATCTTCCTCAGTGTGTACAGGCACAATGGTTTAGCTTCTTTTCTTAGTGTGTAAAATTTGTGTAATCTGTGTAAAACGTAACCAACTCAGTGAGCAGTTTTGGATAATTTTTCTTGAAACTTCTCTTCTCTGTAAGTTCTTAAGGAGGTTTAGAATGAAATATACTTTCTTGCTCAACAGTAAGCTTCGCTGATGGTGGATGATGAATGTCTTTTCTGTGTAGCAATCATTATGATGCTTCAAATGCGCTGTCAATTTCCCTTTAATTTTGCGGGTTGTTCCACCCATCACAGGTATTATTAAATCAAGAGATTGAAATTTCATTGTCCTCAACCAAGGATTTTTCTCAGATAGAGTTATAACACTTGCCCCATTGTCAAGTTATGGTATATCGAGGTAAGTTATGTCAAGGTATGGCTGAGTATTCTGGGTTTTCTTCCCAAGGCATTTGTTGTAAGATATTAACTTCCTTAAGTAAGCAAGCATTGTTTACCACTTCAACATTGTTCTTGAGTGATGTACATTCTCTGGAAATGTCTCATTTTCTTACACAAGTTGCACTGGTGTGATATACCTAGACATTATTTCAGTCTGTATGTATTTTTAACTTGACATCTGGAACAGAGTTCTTGTGTCAAAGGATGTAAAGGAGTTTTATATCAAACTTGTACCTTAGAAAGTTGATAAAGACTGATGAGCTTCTTGAGCCTGATTGGTTTTCTGTTCCCATTGCTCACGTACTGTTTATGAACTTTATCTCCTACCACAATCTGGTTAGGACTTTCCAGCGTATGATCCTCTTTTGGTCGTAACTGATTGGAAAGAAATGGTTCATAACTGTAATGAAGTTAGTTCTGGTTAAAAACCACTGTGATCACAAAATTCTCATAATGTGAAAAGATAATTGATAATGTTGTTAACATGTATCCTTCTATGAAATCTTGCTGTCTCATAGGATCAAAGAATCCATAGATCATAAAATCCCTACAGTGTGGAAGCAGGCCATTCTGCCCATCGAGTCCACACTGCCCCTCCATAGAGCAACCCACCCACTACTCCATCCCTACATTTCCCACCCTGTACACTATGGGCAATTTAGCATAGCCAATCCACCTAGCCTGCACATCTTTGGACTGTGGGAGGAAATCATAATGGACTCCATTATGCTACTCTCATTTAAGATAATGCACTTGTCAAACGTTCTTACAATATTGTGAAGGATACCGTATCTTACATTCTGTCATCTTATTGCATGCCTTGCTATCAGGTCTATAGAATAGTGAAATGTGATCATTTGTTCTTTCTCTGGGTTTCTTCCATAATCCTAAAGTAATTCTGCATTGCATGAGTTTTCGCTTCCATCAAGTCCTGTTTAATCACACGTCTGAACGATTTGTGATTTTAAACCTGCTTGGAGGTGGAACTAATTTTCCCGTTGTTATTTTATTTAACTGTTACTGTTTTTGTTAGTCACATGATTTACTTGAAGACTGATGCTGCAATGTCTAATGGATCATAGATGTAACAACTTTGTAATGAAACACTAATCTTATTTTCATGTAGAATTTTAACTTCTATCTTCTTCTCTTTTTCAGAATTTTTTAAAACGTTTTCATGAATGAAAGATGGAAAGCTCCGAAAAATTTAAGAATTTATCCTCCTCCTTGTGCTAAAAAAAATCAAGTGTTGATATTTATAGACATTCTTTAAAATAAAGAAAACCATTTTTAAAAAAAGTTTCTATCAGGATAGAGGAAAGTCTATTAATCAGGGTGTCCTGGTATCATCTGTTACGGGCACAGTCCATATACAGTCCAGTCGCTTACACTGGTCTGTCACAGTCAGGAGGCACTTTCTTTCTGTTCACTTATGGGATATGGGCATTGCTCACCGGGCCAGCATTTATTGCCAGTCCCCAGTTGCTCTTGAGAAGGTGGTGGTGAGCTGCCTTATTGAACCGCTGGAGTCCATGTGCTGTATGTAAACCCACAATATTGTTATGGAGGGATTTCATTGACGCTGAAGGAACAGTGATGTATTCCAAGTCAGGATGGTTACTGGCTTGGAGGGAAACTTGCAGGTGGTGGACTGTTCCCATGCATTTGCTGCCTTTATCCTTCTACATGGTTGTAGTAGTAGGTTTGCTTGATGCTGCTGAAGGAGCCTTGGTGATTTTCTGCAGTGCATCTTGTAGATTGTACACACTGCTGCTACTCAGCTTTGGTGGTGAAAGGGAATGGTTGCTTGTGGATGTGGTGCGTATCAAGTGAGCTGTTTTGTCTTGGATGGTAAATGCTTCCCTACAATTTGGGTAATAGTCATCCCAAAAGAAGTCAGGGGAATGGTGTATCATCCATTGAGGAGCTGCAAACACAGTGGTCAGGGGTCTGACCAATCATGTTGGAGTGGCTGTTTGTCAGAGTCAGTCAGATGTTTGTGATGATCATAGTGTTAGGAGAAGGATGGGGAGCAGAGGGGAGTGGTGGGGGAAAGGGGAGTGGGACATCACTGCCAAAGGGGGTGGCAGTGTTGAGGCTAGGGATTGGAAAAGCAGAGGCACATATAGAGGTGGGGAAAGGGATAGTGATGGGGAGAATCCCAAAGTATATGGAGAGCTAGGCAGAACAGCATCAGAGGGCACGATAGGCAATGACGGGGATATTGGATGCAGTGACCCCCACCATGGGTGGTATAGAGGAACAGGATCGGCATCATTACATAATGTTGGGGGCTCAGGGGACAGGGAGGAAAGTTAGAGGCAATGTCCAATATGGTTGGTCTCCATATCACAGGGATGGGTGGAAATTGACTGTCAGGGTAGTGTGAAGTAAATAATACATGGAGGCTCAGGAGTGGGGGATTGTTCAAATTGAACGTGATTTAACTTTGAATGGTGGTCAAAGGTGATTTGCACCATGCCATTGGTGTTTGCGAATCTAACATTGGTATCTGAATGATGTGGAAGTTACAGCAATGGCTGAAAAAGAGGTAAATGCTGGCCAAAAGCGGCTCATCACTTGTGAAACGTCCAAGGGTGCTGTAAGGGGAGAGGAGCATCATTTCGTCATTGGTCATGTAAGTATGATGTTAGACTCTGTTGGATAAGATGAAGAGTTAAATGACACTACAAAACCAGCGAGGACCTGTTGACGTCCGGTTCCAGTAGATGAGAACTGGATGTAGCAGGTCATCGTAGAATGTCAAATATGTGTTGGTCTTTTCATTTGCAATGTGGGGCTGAGTTGCAGCCTCTACTCATTTCTTGGCAAATAAAAGCTCATGTTTGGATTTGTCTAATTGCTTGTCTGCATGTGATGTTCCCCTGCTGGATAATGACAAGATGTTGGTCTCCAGTGGGCACTTGGGACAGAGCAGCCTAGAGGCCTAGGGTGAGCATTTAGATAGGATGTGGCTTAGGACAGGTAAACTGTGTGGACTGGTGCTTAAACTGTGACTAGGGTGAAAGGGTGGGGTTGTATGTGTGACAGAGTGTTAGGCATGTTGGCTATGTGCCATGGGCAGCTTGTCTTCATGGATGCTGAAGCACTACATTGACAGAGAGGGTCGATGCCAGAGTACCATTGCACATCTGGGTGCACAGCGGCCTTTTGAAGATGGCATGAGTGACATTTGATGGATATCTGCTGAGCAGCAAGCTCTTCTAGCAATGGTGCCTGGTAAGATGGGGATAGAGTCAAATGAGACGGCTGCTCTCGGGGGCGGGTAGGTAATTAATGAGGTGATCTTAGTAAGATACACTGAAAAAAATTTGCTTGATCTCATTGCGTAAACGTCCTCCAAAAAACTCAATGCAACTTACACTTAAGCAAAAAAAAAGATGCAGCCTATTTCGACTTCAATGTATAAAGGAAAAAGAGGAGGCAACTTGTGTTCATTCAATGCCTTTCGTAATCTCAGGATGACCCAAAGGGTTTTACAGCCAAAGAAATGTTGTTGAATTTGTAATGCTGTAAGGATTTTTTAATATTTGAAAAATGACAGTTAACTTGTACAAAGTAAGATCCCACAAGCACCAATATTATAACACGAGGTAATCCATTTAGTGACGATCAAGAGAGAGAAAACACCCTTAACCCTTCTTTGAAGATTGCAGCATGTCGTCTTCTGGGTTAGCAAAGATGAACTGCAACCCTTTGTGACAGAGTGACAGTGACAGTACACAGTGGCAGAACACAACATTGGTCCTGAAAGAATGGAAATTGGGGCATTCAAGGCATTCAGTTAGATGGGACCTGAAATCTTGGTTTTGCGATGCCAGGTTGAGTTTGTGAGACAAAGTGGGTAGTGTGTGAATGGCGCAATGGCTGACATCCGGCCCAACATTAGAAACTTATTTACCATTAA